ACGGAATAGCAACCCTTTGTGCTTGCCACGCTATTTGACTCTTGCAGTATTTCTTCAAATAGTAGTTGAAGCCCCAAAGTGCCGCGACGCCAGTACTGGCTTTGATTTGCAAACGTCCATCGGATGTACGAAGGGCGCAGACATCTTTCTTGTTATTAAATAGTAAAGGATCTATAGTAACACTGACTTGATTGGTGTACCTGTTAATGATGGTGGTTGCCGCATCTTGTTGAACTTGCGCCGATGTTTTAGTCTGAAGCACCGTCGGGTCTAAATAATCGAGGTTTAATGCGGCTATGTAACATATTTTTAAACAAACTAGGAGTGCTTGTAGCTTCATTGCCGCGTAGTTGTCGGTCAGCGACAGAACTTGAACTGAACGGACTTAGATAACAAAGATGTTCCTCATACAATAATAATCAACCGCTGACCCTATCTCGGGTTACCTCTTAGTAGGGCGACCAAGTTCAAATAAAAAGTCGGACATTTATAAAAAAATCTAGCTGTAAGCTTAGTCTAGTAAAATACAAGTTGTGTAATTTTGGACACATTTAGAGTACAAAATATTTTGATGTCACAGACTATACAACGTGTATAAAAATAAAAACAATATCTTATCTAAATAAGCTCTAGTGGGGACTGATCGAATAATGTAAAATAGATTTAATGTATCTGTGCGGAATTAAAAAAACTCAAGCAGCCTACGTGTTCTTCCAGACTATCTTCTATAGTTCAGCAGTTTAGGTAACAAACTAACAACCATCCATCTGAACTTTCGCATTTATAACATTAGTAATATTATGGTAACCCTAGTTACGATAACGATTCCGGTTATGGTCCGTCAAGTTAATGCTTTGGTGTCATTTTTGTTAAAATAGCCATTGTAACCAGATCGACAATGTGTTTGAGGAATTCCCCGTTAAAAAGAACAAGTGTTGCCTTTAAAAGTATATTTACAAAGATTATTTTGGACAGTGTTACAAGATAAAAGTATGGAAAAATATTTAGCAATGGGTGGAAAGAGTTATTTTTTTTGTTTGTTACGCATGAAATACAAGCAATCAATTATGAATTAAATAATTTTAATTTAATAAGTCAATATTTGAAAATATATAAAGAATTTAAACAAAAGAAAAATGATTTGTATTACAAACATAGAAATACTAGCTTTCGACCGCGAATCCGTCCGCTGGGAATTAAAAAAATGTATTTTTTAAAGTGACTGGATTCTTCCAGACTATATCTAAGCCAAATTTCATCGGGATTCGTTCAGCAGTTTAGGCTACAAACTCAAACAAACATTCATCAATCTACGCTTTCGTATTTATAACATTAGTAAAAAAAATATTAAAAACAATAACATTTAAGGATTCAAGGTTATAAAAAAAATTCATAAGGAGATTTATACGTTTATTTAAGAATTAAAAGCGAAAAAAATTGAAACCAAGTGATACACAATATTTTGCCTTGGCCAGTATTCAGACAATTATAATGAAAATGTCATAGAAAATTTACAGTAAACATCTGAAATTATTCATTAAGAAGCAATTAATAATCTAAATACTGGCCAAGGCATTTCTTTGCGAATAACTAAACAGAAAGGGGTAAAGAAATTAATATAAATTGAACGCAAATCTTTCAAATAAAAATAGCAAAAGGTCAAACTCGTTTGACTTTTAACATTTTGCTGTGAAATATCTTGCAGGCGTTCTGTAATTACTCTGTGTCCATCGCCACCTGCAAATAAATAAAAAAAAAATTAAAGCAGAAATAAAGCAGATATCGTGTTAAAAGTTATCAGTATTAACTTTTGTATATCGATTTATAATCTAACAGAATTTGATAAAAAATTTAATTGCATAAGAAAAAAAAGATATAGTTTGATATAAATTAGTATTTATCGAATTTCCATTTTATTCTAAAGCAAAAAAAATATTTTAGGGAAGTAAAACAATTTTAAAGAAATTAAAGAAAAAAAAAACATTAGCTTTGACCCCGACGTGATTTGAACACGCAACCTTCTGATCTGGAGTCAGACGCGCTACCGTTGCGCCACGGAGTCGATACATAACAGCACGAAAATACTCTTCAAAAGTCTAATAATTTTATACATATTATGATTTAACATTAATATTTTAATAATAAGTAAATTGGGTGTTGCCCGCAACATTTTCAGCGCGACATTTTGAAAAAAGACCTATTATAATATTCCCTAGTTCAGCTTAACCCTTAAATGCATATTGTTGCCAAAAGTCTACAAACAAAATTACAGTTTTAATTGAAACCAAGATTTTTTTAAATTATTTTTCCCTTAATCTGTGACTCAAAACCTATACTGATATATTAATTTCATAATTAAATAAAAAATCATGCATTTAAGGGTTAAATAAATATTTAGTGGTAAAATAAGCGTTTCATTACAAGGACATGAGGTGAGGTACTAAACTTGACAACATGTTACCTTTCAAAGAAGTTACCGGTGAAATAATGTACCCATGTCTAGTCTAAATATTTCTTAAATGTCTGGTATAGATGAATTTGGATCATCGGTTGCTCAGTGGTTTAAGCACTTGACTTGTAATCTATTTGGGTTCGAATCCTGATAGCGGGATAATGTAATTTTAGATTTTTCGAATTTTTAACAGTGGTAGAGCCCGCTTTAACATCTTAGCACTGCAGGACCGGCTCGCTCCCAGTAATACCACG